TGGCCTTCAATCATCTAAGGTAAAAATTTCACATTGAAAGATATAAATGAATTATCTAGCTAAATACCCTTCAAAATAGGTTGATAAGTTTTAATAATTTCCTACATACTTAGTTAGATATTGCCAATATGAAATTTGACGTTATTATTCACATAGCTTGACCATCATGTTAGAGACAAAAACTACCAACACAAAATCTGGGCCATGTCTCACATACACCTTTTCTTTTCTAGATGGAGAGAAAATATTAATATGGGAGATTAGTTTTAAGGACATTTGATCACCTTTTGATCACTTTATCTTACTTTCATGTATACTGCCCTAAAGCCTTCCATAAAATTGTGTTAAAAATTATAAATAATTTATAATATAATTTAATATATTTCCTTCCATGTTAAATCAAACTGGCCTTTAACCCTTTAAATAGTGTATGTATCAAATATCTAACATTGCCAAACTTCCTTGCCCTATATTTGCTGTTGTGTTATTTCTTTTGATTCATTTGATTTTTGTGTGGGGGCTTTCCTTGATATCAATTGATGATTACGATACTTCATATATTTTTTTATGAGCTTTGCATGCAAGACCTTAGCTTACCTAATGAAAGTTATTTTAATTTAAAGGGGATCTTCTACACAATATTCATGTATCATGTAAAAGAGTCAAGATTTGATACAAATGTAGCATTAATGACTTGGATATAATAATATTAAATTAAATCATATTTGAAAAAAAAAACATGTCATTTCATGTGATGAAACTGCATACCAATAGTAGATAGTGGAGAAAAATAATTAACACATCCAGTCACCAATATGGTGCTATAGCAAAAGTATCTCCAAAGGAAACTATGGGATGATATTATTTTAGGGGCCTCATATGTCACTATACAGTAGACTTGCAAGGCCCTCAAACACACCCCCCCTAGATCATTTTTTTAATAGAACATTAAAAATTTTGATTGTGTAATAAGTTGTGGGTCACTACTATTTCATTAACTTGATTAGTCTTTACAAGAGGGATCTTTCTTGGTGTCCCTACTCTTTAGGAGGGAATAAGTGTCATAGTAGAAGAATATATGATAATTTGGAGCTCATGAACAGTACCTTATAGAAACTAAGTATTGACATTGCAATCTCCTAAAACATAAAGTCTTAGTCATCATGACATCACTTTCAAGTATCATATACCTTGACTTAATACTAACTTTATGGTTGAGGGAGCAAGATCTACCATCTAAATTTTTATCATTATTCTATTCATAGAAATTTTTGAACTTCATTTTTTGACAAGAATTTCCTATCTTAATTTTCACTTTATGCCCTTTTATAATTACTATTAAATATAATTTATAGGTATGTCAGGTGAGCACTATATAAGCAATTTAATTTGAATTGGTAAGTTTTACAAATAGTGATTCTTTTTAGGAATTGTGCCAATTGTTGCCTCTACTAGAGTAGTAACCTTTGGGTCTGTCTATTGATATAGACACTCATCCATCCATTTGTAAATTTGTTCATCTACTAATGTATCTATTTGAGTGCTTTCGTACATACCTACTTTCTTGACTACCAACACTAATTTGTCCATCTATTCATGCATCTGGTAGGTGCTAGTTTGAGAATCAATTTTTGTGCTTGAGTGTTTTCCTACATACCTACTTGGTTGACTACCAACATTAATTTGTCCATCCCTTCATGCATTTGGTAGGTGGCAGTTTGAGAACTAATTTTCATGCTTGCCTAAACATTTAGCCTTTGCAGAAATTTTCAAGTTCACTTAAGTGTTTGGATCCTACCATTTTGTGCAGCCATCTGCTTGCACCTACTCCCCTGCCACACTTAGAGCAAAAATCAATATGATGCTTGGCCACTTGGGTTACATGTCTTCTACATTATATGGCTGAAATTATTTATTTCCTTTGTGTTATTCTTGATTGAGAAAACACCCCAATAAGACTTCATCTTATCACCTTTAGATTAATAATAATATCTCTATAAAATTTGTTGTCATCATAAAAAAAGTTCCCTAGCACCTTAATCTTTTACCAGCTTGTTAAATGTCAACTAGGGGTCCTAATTGATTTAAGCTCTTCAATGTCAATGCATTAGACTTGTCTAATTTCTGCTAATATTTTTATTGATTTCCTTAAATCTTTATGAATGGATGGTTGAATATTATATCATTTCTTGCTAATTCATATTTTGTATTCTACTTGACATCAAGAGGGTATCATTGTTCTTATAGATCTTATCCAATCCCACCTTCTCAGAGTAACTCCTTATTTCAAGAGAATGTTGAAATGTCAAGTAATACCAATGGTACAATCGAACCATGCAGACCTCTTGATTAAGAGAAAAAAATAAAGGGGACAAAAAACGTGGAAGATGTAGAACTTACCAAACATACAATGGAATCCCTTATGTCTCCATAGTGCGACTCTCAAGGATGATATATACATTACCAAGGGAAACCCTAATATCGCAATCCATTTAATAACACTTGGATCAATCTTTCCTCCCAAAAACTCTACTTATTAAAGAATTATCTGACTTTTATTCCTTCTCTAGCTATAGATTTATGGCAGGGGTGCATTTGATTCAACTTAAGAATCCTGTTACCTAGAGAAGTAAGAAACAAAGTATGGTGGCTAAGTCATGTGCAGAAATAGAATTTTGAGTGATGACCCAAGAGATATAAAGTACTTGAAGATTATTCTTAAAGACTCGAGGATTGAGTTAGGTGATTCAATCAAGTATTATGCACAATAAATTAGTAATAAGTTTATGCACAATCTAATTCAACATGATAGAATCAAACATATTAAGATTGATAGGTACTTTGTCAAGAAAAAAAAACTGAAGAATAGATTGAAATGTGCATTATGCATATCAACAAGCAATCAAGTTGTATGACTTCACCAAAGACCTGAGGTGGTACAAGTTTTATCATATAATATCCAAGCTGAGAATAAATGGTACACATTCAATAGTTTGAGGGGGAGTGACAAGACTGATGCATTATACTTCTTTTCTTTTCATTATTAATATAATTTCTGTCTCAAGTCAATTAGGCCCATTTTAGTAAACTTATGTTATTTGAATTAATGATGAACTAGGACGATTCAGCCCATTATGACACTAACTAGTCCGGTTCTCCCTGTAACCAATGGGACCAATATAAAGCATACTCTCAATCTCTCTTTGAAGGTAATGCAAAATTAGTACTTCAGACTTTCGTTTTTTGTCTATCTCTAGTGTCTCTAACTCTTCATCTCTCAATCAAAAGATTCTTAATGATCTGAGGAGAGTAGTTGTGACTATTCAATGTATAAATTCTCACTAAGCATAAGAAAGAAGTGTCAACCATAAGCAGATATGTTTTTTCAGGTATGAAGTATCCTTGAAAAGTTATGGGGAAATTTTATAACAAAACGATTTACTCAAATTTATTATAAAAAAATATTATATTTAAAAATAAAACTTATACCTTACCAAACTGATGTTATTTATGCTTGTGTTCCTAGTTAGTTTGTTCTCTAGTAAACTAATTCAAGCTCTTGTAGAGGTACACTTTTTCAAAAAGAGTCAACAATACTTGTACATAGATTGGTCGTAAGTCTAGTGTTAAATCTAGTGCCAAAGTAGAGTTTAAGGAATTGGCCAAAGAGACGTTGCAAAAGAATAATATACCAAGGAGTTCTTAAGAAGGTCGTCTTATTCATGCCTTATTACACTCACACTAGACACACACATCACTTTGCACAGATGTCATGATCATTCCACACTACATACCCATCCCATGTAAGGTGGATTTGCAATGCCACATACAATGTGCACAACACACATGCTACATCCCATGCCATGTATAGTGAGGTTCTGGTCATGCCAAGCTTGACGGCCCCATATCACTACCCATAGCAAGCCCCATGCTGTGTAGGGCAATGTTTTGTCACACCTAGCATGATGGCACATGTTACCATATTTGCATGTACAATGTACCATAAATGTTCCTATGATGTGCACATTGGAGCATATACTATAAGTACATCATTGACCATGTCATCCAATCCATGCAAGGTTCTGCATGACTTGAAGGACATTTTATGAACCCTAGATAGAAGAATCACATCAAAATGAGTATGATTATAGTTGGAAGGGAATCTTAGTCAAACAAAGTGGTACCCTAAAAATTTGTTTTTCATAAAATAAAATTGTGCAACATATGTGAAGCACAAATTTTAATTTTCATTTTTATTGAAAGGTTGCACCAATTTATCCAATCTTTGACAAAATAATATCATCATAGCTAAGATTAGAGTATCAACTAACTGATGCATCTCCTTAGAGAGATGCATCAGTTAGAGACTCCATATCCTCAAAAACAATTTGTTTCACAGTAAGTTTCCTCAATGTCAATTAGACAACTGATTCAAACTGAATGCTGATTTCAAAGATTACTTTTTCGGATCAACTACTCTACAAGATCCATAACACAGACTATTCCGTTCACAGAATAAGGCCATAATGATCAAGACAAAATAAAAGAGTGCCGCGAAAAAACTATGGCATGTACATTTAACCTTGATGAATGCCTAGGAAATTTTCAGCCATTTGAATGGTACTTTCAAGACTGATAGTCATCAAGAGTATAATTTTTAACATTCTGACTGATTCAGACAGGAAGAGGAAAGCAAAAGGGAAAAAAAGGATCACCACCACCGAGACACACCAAAGAGTCATTATTCTTCTATAACTTTGTGGACTAGTACCACACAATTCTTCAGCACTCTTCTTGCACTAGAACCAGCCTTCTGGTTAGCCCTCTGGATCATACTTTGTACATAACTGAAATGTCTAATCTATGGAAACAATCCCAGACTCGGGAATGCCCCACGTTAACACAAAGAAAATTCTGATTGTGCTTCAAGGCCACCCTAAGCTTCCTTTTGATTTCAGATTGCTAAGCTTCGTCAACAGGAAGAGTCAGAAATATGGGAATCAGGAGGCACCTGATTCTCTAGCTTGCTGTTGTCGCAACACCAAGCACATAGCATGGGATGCGCCAACAGCAACTTGAAGCACGCGGTGAGGGCCAAGATCCTCGTCTTCCCAGAGGAACTTCACTTCAAGGGGCAAAGGTTGCACGTCAGGCAGTCCTGGAATGCCGAGCTGGCAGTCTCTGGCATTTCCCCACATGTACAGCTTCCCCGTGTCTGGAATGCCCATTCCTTCAAATGTGTAAGTACTTAAAAGACAGACAAAAATAAAAGGACTAATTTGCATAGATTAATGATTTATATTTCACATGCTTCATTTTGGGAAAGGAAAAGGCATAATATAATCAGTCTCCACCATTATTTCAATATTATGACAACAGGTTAGTAAATTTTAAAATAAATAAAAAATACCTATCGGATTTAAAATATGTTATCATTGGGTGACAATCATAGGCAATGCCTTGAATCTATCTGAATTTATGTCCAAAAGGAAACATCAACTAGAATCTGTTCTATTGGTAAGATAAGACGTCACGATCAACCTTATTTTTTTGTTGAATAATGGAGCAGATCGTCCCCTCATACCTACTACCATCTCATTTCTTCGTTTGCAAATCATTAATATCTCTGTCTGAGACTCCACTTAGCCTAGACATATATATATATATATATATATATATATGTATATGCTTTGATCGAGGAAAGGAATGGTCTGAGTTGTGTGGATTCATCGTTGGTATTCACGCAGCCCTTCATTAGCCAGCATAGCTGGCTCCATCTTCAAGATCTCTATAAACAACAAGCAACAAATACAAAATGATAGTAGAATTTTTTTCTCATGCGCAACATAAGTTGTTTGGTAAGAGCATATATACAATAGATTACATATATTTAACAAAACTGATTAACATAGAAAACCAACTGAGCTTTGGAAGCTACAGGTAATTGGTTCAGAAAGAGTTAGATCAGTATCCCCATTTTCAGACACTGGACTTCACATTTTTGCAATGATGAAGGAAATTATTCCTTAATCTTTAGGTGGTTGGGTCATAGAATTGTCTACACCTGGTGCAGACGACAGCGATATCCTATAGAGGATTTCTTTAAGAGATCATGTATCATGTTATTGGATCCTCCTCTTTCGTACTGTATTTAATGAATTTTCAGAACAATCCACTGTCAATAACAACCATATTTCTTAATACCGCGACTATGGACTAAAACTGGACTTTAGTTTAGGGAAGGAAGTTGACCAAAAGAAGCTTTTATAAAAGTTTAAATGAGAAAACTACTGCTAGACCAGAGTAAAACAAATAAATGAGCTAATAAAGAAATTATGAATTCAGGCCTTTATCAGCCAATATTCTTGGCACAAAAAGTATCTTTGTGCATCAATCCTACATAGATTTCCGAACTAAATTATCATCACAATAAAAAAAACTGTACCATAAAAAGGTTTTTTTCCCAATGTATCAATAGTTTCCATTTCTCAGACACTAAAAGGATGAATTCATCTAAAGAGAACAAAATATGCAAAAGGTTTATACAAGTCCAGGTGCAATCACAGCTGATTTCATACGGAATGTCATACTTACCCGTGATGGCAGCAGAGGAAGAACCACCACATGCAACATAGACAACTTTCTCTTTGGCCAATGATTCAATCAAGTGAGGAACTTTCTGATTTTGAGTTGACTGATGACCCAATTGACCATGTCCGCCATGGCCCCATGAAAGAACCTCACCTCTATCTGGACATATTTACAAAATTTAGGCATGAATTCAGCAGGTAGTAATGGATTTCAAAAAAAAATATTACAAAGAAAAAAAAATGTTGTATATTACCACTGAATGGAGAAATACCCGAATGCAAGCATTTTACCTGTCAATGCTAAGGAATGATAACCACCGCATGCTACCTGGATTATATTAACATCTTGAAGACTAGAGATTTGTTTAGGCCTCCAATCACTAACATTATTACCCCTACCAAGCTCATAATTCGAATTTGCTGCATTAATAAAGGGAAAAAGAGATGGCTGTTATACAATCTGATATTTCACTACAGTAAAAGAGTGAAAAAAACTGCAAAAACTTTATACATAAGCAATAAACCGAGTATTCTGCGTTAAAGAAAAAAAACTTGAATTGATTTTCATAAAATACAAAAGCAGATGAATACTAGAGCAATGCAAAATGAAAGGAAAGATTTATTTTAGGCACTACTATATTTTGTGACTATTATGGTTGTCCAAGCTAATCAAAGAAAAGGGAAGAATGTCAAAACGTCTGACTCCATGGTTATTTCAGTAAGCAGGTTATTAATGATTGACTCTGCCACTTTAAGGCCTGTAATTGCTTAGAGCCACCTTAGGGCCTCATTGTATCATTGATGTTGGGGATTTCGACGTAACCTCTACTGTGAACTCCTTGCAAACACAAAATAATCTGTTGCTGTAAGTCGTGTACAAGCCATTTTTTGGCTTTAAACTGGTGACCACATAAAACATTACATGAGTCATCTCAAACGCCATTATGTTCACTAGTAATTGGTTGTCATCTATGATGTCAATAGGGCACGAACAATGCAACTGATTTCTGTATTGTTGTACAGAGATTCTACATAGGCCTGCATCCATTATCTGGATTAGTAATTTCCAATCCTGGCTTCTCATGTGGTCTGTTATTTTCACTGTTATTAAAAGTAGTACAAGAAGGAAAAAGGGCAATTATAGTTTAGTCAAACAATTGTTACTTCAGATTGCAGTCTCTGGTTCCTCAAATTATGCTCAAAATTGGATATTTCCTAAAGTCCAACGTACATAAGATAATAAAGACAAAGGCAGATTGATATCTATTAAAGCATCCAGCATTCATCAATTGCTACATCATATCAATTGTACATGTTATTTTTCATTCGATTCATACTAGCAACTGGGCCATCTTTTCCAACATAAAAAAAAAGGATCAGCTAAACATTGGATAAAGAAGACGTCACACCTCCCCAACTCCAAAGCTTCCCCTCGGAGGATAGTGCCATTGTGAAAAAACCACCACAAGATACTGCTGCAACAGGCACAGGTAGAGCACCCACTTTTGAGGGGGTGCTAAATGAACCAGCCTCACCAGGGCCACCTCCAGGACCAAGGCCCAGTCTGCCTTCACCTTCATCTCGACCCCAAGTAAAAAGTTCCCCTGAAAAGGTTCATTGGCAGATTGTCGAACCAGTGGAGTCAAGTGATGAAAAGCATTGATGAATGAAGACATAACCGAGTTTTAAATAAGCATAGTAAACACAACATCAAGGAATCCAATCCAGCAAAAAAGTTCAGAAATGCAATAGCAACTGAAAGAGAGGAAAGTGGAGAGGTCCTGAAACGGATACAGATAGTCTAGATAAATCATGAGATAGAATTATGAGCATAGCAAAGCCTGTTTGTTCTTTTTCATTTAATGCAGGTGGAAGAGAGCATGCATCAGAAAGTTCGTCACTCAGAAGGCACGGTAACAGCTATTGATACAAACATTTTAACCAGAAGAGATGTAGCAGTGGGGGAGATTAACTCCATGACACTAAAAGGATATACAAGGCTGACTTCACCCACAAAAGTGCAGTGAGTGTTCCCACAGATTTAAGACGGATCAATCTCATAGGTCTCAAAAGGGTGTCAGACATGAAAGGTTATTACAAGCCTTAAGTTCCATAGTAGGTTTGAAATGAATCAGCTGTTTTGGTTGAATCAGGCATAGTCCTCAAGGGAGTTTATCTGATTCCCATTGAAATTCCTGAATAAAAGGAAAAAAATGAAAACATTCTACAAAGCAATAGAATTCCCCTAATAGCGATATGTCCAGCAAGCAAAGGACTACTTGAATTCTCGGCCATTAAAAGTGGTAGCTTAATAAAGGCATGGCTTTCACATTAAGATTCACAATATTTCATTGTTTAGACTGTCTCATGCTTCTGTAGTTGGCGACTAACTTTTCATAAATCATATGAAAAACAAGCTGTATCAAATGCAGACATCTAGGCCAATACATAACTCATGAAAAAAATGTAAGAGCAAAGCATATCAATTCACAGCCAACCCAAGTGTCAGTTAGACGGACAAGACAAAGAATTGGGCAAATATAGAACTAGATTCCTACAGTCAACCCATTTCCCCAAGGAAAAAAAATTATGAAATAATAAAAAATTGGGTGCATTCAGCTTCTGCTATCAGATATTTAAGCATTTATTCTGATATTGTTCATTTAGATGAAAAGCAAACCAGCATTATCATGGAATATCTTTGAAAGTATCCGCACAGATTCGGAAGGCACCTCTATTCATAAAGTAAATCTGGAAACGCAAAAGAACAAACGTCAAAATCACATCATGATAACCCGAAACCAAAAGTGAGAAACAACCCATACAGATGACAATCTTTTTTTTTCAAAATCACAGCCGATCATATGAAAGTCTATTTTTCTTATTTTTCGTCCTATCTTATTCCCCTTCAAAAAGCCAACCTGAATCAGAAACTGCTGCAGTGTGCGCTCCACTTGTAGCAAGCTGGGAAATACTTTCGTGCCATGGACCAATGACACGCCTTGGCAACAGTTCCCTGCTGTAAACAGAGTGCCCCAGAGCCCCAAATCCGCCATAGCCCCTGCAGGCTTCAGCCAAGGTACCGGATGTTGAAGGCACAGGAGAAATTTAAATGTAAACAGAACTAGTAACCAATAACCTAAGAAGGCATCCTCAACGACTAAAAGAACGAACATTTCAGACAAAATTATCAATTTTCTTATTCCACATTTTTCTGTGCTAAACGGCAACACCGAGACCCCTGATGTTTATATTCTACATAATCTTATGCTCCGAGTGAGAACAAGAAGCTATTATTTGAGAAATGTTTGACTGAATGAACTGATGCCAAAATGCAACTGACACATCGACAAGGAAGCAGAGCCCAACTGACCACGTAAAGATATCACCACACCGCAAAAGCGCCGTCGAGTGGAGCCCCCCGAGGGCGACGCTACGTATATCACCCAGATTGGGGTTCAGCGTGGGCTGGAAGACGGAGACCTCGTTCCCGAGGCCGAGCCGACCCCCGTCCCCTTTGCCCCACATCCACAACTTCCCCTCCACCAGCAACCCCGAGTGGAAAAGGCCACAGGATATCCCCACTTCGAGAGACCCATCATCGCCCTTACTCCTCTCCAGCGGCGGGGGCCCAGCGCCAGAGAGGCGGCCGGAAACTGGGCCGAGGCGGAAGTTCTTGGGAAGGAGAAGGGAAGAAACAGGGTTCGGGTAGAAGCGGATCTCCTCCTTGCCGCCGCCCAACTGCCCCGAGCTGCCCCGTCCCCACGAGAGGACCTGTACAGTGATCAGATCATCCCCAGCGGCGACGCGACCTTCATTCCCACCGACGGCGGGCCTCCACAGGATGGGAACGGAGTTGGAGGAAGAAAGTGAGGAGAAAGCAGCGACTCGAGGGAAGCGGCGCAGCCCGGGCGGCATCGTCCGACGGCCGGCGGCTGCTTGGGACCGGAAGTTTTTCATGCACCGTTTCCGCGGACAGATTTAAATGGACGGGGCCGATTTCTCACTAGACCGAGTGGAGGCCAGTCCTAGTCTATTTTAAAAATTAACATATTACTACTTAAAAGATGTGATTTCTTTTATATGCTCAACATCACACCAACTAAACAATTCTCTCTCCCCTCTCTCTCTCTCTCTCTCTCTCTCTCTCTCTCATGTTTCTCTCTCCTCTCCCTCTCTCCCGCCCTCTCCCTCCCTGCTGGCTTGAAAATGAGACTAACCATAGACGAATTATTTGTCATTTAAGCAAGCTGTTAACGTATCATTTGGGTTAAATTATAAAAAATATCATATTAACCCAAGTCAAAGCCAATGAAATAGAATGAAGAACACTAAAACAGATTTTTAAATGCATTTCATGAACTTTTATTTAATTCTATATATTTAACATTGGAAAAAATATATTTCAATCCTTAGACGTACAACCAAACGCAATATCTAAGGCACGGCCTTGAGAAAAAAAAAATCCCTTTATTTTCCATCTTTTCTCACAGTCAACTGTTTGCCGGATTTGATGGAGAAGATGGGCAACGTTTCCATGTAGGAAGAAATTTTACATGCAACTAAGATACAAAAGGAAAGGCAATGGAAAACTTATACGAAGAAGATGGTAAATAAAATCAAAAGAAACCAAGCTTTGATGCTGCTCACAAATTTGACAAATAAAATGTAATGACGTGTCGAAACTATGATATCTATCCCACTGAGACATTGGTTGATCTTTGTTCACTTGAACTTATCAAAGAAAGGTTTGACTTAAGAGTTAAAAATTAAAAAAAAAAAAAAACTCTGGACCAGAGATAAGTCGGTAGTAGATGAAAAAATTGGCCCTGGTTCTTAAGCATGTAACCAAATCAATCAACTATTGAAATATTCTTCAAAGCACAATCTCTGACCAAGTTCTTGAGATCATCTCAAGAGAGGAGTATTAGTATCCATTGGCCCCATGAACAGCTCTGATACTGACGACCAAAGGCTTATGGAATTTCCAAGAAGCTGCTTTCCTCAGCATTGAGTAGACCTACGAGAGAGTGAGCCTCTGAATGAAAGCCCGTTGTGTGTGTTGAAGCTCTTCCATGCTTTGCTGATGATGATCCCATATGAAGTTACTAATACAGTACTTGTTACTGTCCGGACTGCACACAACATAAAAGTCTAACCGTCAACGCAGAATGAGTCGATTAAAGAGTAGATTAAAGGTGGCATGATATGATTTAGATGTTGAACATACCAAGACGAGAAAACCAACAAAAAACAAAGGTGAATCATATATTTTATCTCCAATGGTTCCCCGGAATGTGAAAAAATATGAGTAACGCTGACAGAAAAAAATCATATCTGATATAATGTCCCTTCTGATATCATAATAATAACAAATATACAAATCTAATATCCTAGAAAACATAAGTATTACACAGAAATCTACAATAAGGAAAACATCCTTTGCAAATTTGTAAGACCAGCTTAAATAGTTTGCTATATTTACAACTAAGGATTAGAACCATTTAATTAAGACCAACTGTTAGAGCTTATCCATCATTACTAGGACCTCTCACTTTTTTGCTGCAAGTTCCATAACTTGGTACTCGGCTAGCTTGAGATTCTCATACAGTGTCAATATTATATCTGACCAGACAGTTTCTGTAGGCTTCCTATGTGGGGGTCAGGGCCAAGAAGAATAGGAGAATAGCAGTTAGTCCTCAGCAAGAAATAGCAAGCATAGTGGGCACTTACATGACTCAAGAGAGGCTGATGGATTGACCACATAATTGTAACAGCTCATCCTGTAAGAGATGTAATAACTCTGCCTTTGTCCGCCTATAAAACCAGCATTGGCTCGTCCTGTCCCAATCGAACCTAGATGGGCCACTGGAGGATAAGATAAATTATTGTCAGCATATCCGGGATTAGCATCTCAACTACCTGTGAGCTGTGAAACCTGATGTCAAAATATGAAAAAACTAAACACCACATTATGGACAGGGCAGACGATCAGTCAACAACTGTTCAGAGATCGAAAATTGAAGGCTCGCACAATTCCACCTCTGGTAGAAATTTATTATTCGTGATCCTTAATGGACCTATTATACAGTAAATAAGAAGCTATAATTAATCAAAGCTTTATTAAACACCTCTACACTTTAAGGAAATGGGTAGTTGTCTTCATCAGGGTTCATAATGAACGTTTAAGGCCTTAGACATCACAGGTTCATTCTAATACAAATAATCACTCAGTGAAACATCTAGTTTTCTATAATTATATAATTATAATTTTATTAAAACAAACAATTGATGCTTATACAAAATTATCAGTGACAAATATAATTATTTCGCCACCAATTCTTCCACCCCTTTAGGGTTGAGGATTAGATAAGACATCATCAAGAGTGGCATACCAGAAAGCATGATACTACCTGGTACAAAATGCTATCTAAGGTTTCACAGGCTTTGTCAGAGGTTCCCGGTCATGTACCAGCTGTTTTGTGGCCACATAAGCAGGAACAACATTGGTCCATGCTGAAAGGGAAATAACGGCAGGAATTTGACCAGCGATCATTTCCCCTGTCAGACAGTTATCACAAAACTAATAAAAGGCTACTAGCAGGATCGAAGAAAACATTCCCTCTCGTTTCAGACACAACCCCCCCGCCACAACCTTAAAAACAAGAGAGTAGGGAGAGAATATAGTGAGAAATCCCCATAAACCCACCTGGCCTTCTCTCTACTCTCAAGATTAAGTTCTAAGCAGAAAAAATCCAATCGAGAAACGAGGCCAAAGGAAGGATTAGCCCTGTGAAGAGTAAGTATTGAGGAATTCCCTCATGAGCACATGGCTAGAGAGCGCATGGGGGGAATCATTTCTACTATCTATCTAATTACCCAGTGATTATGAATTTTAGCACCGTCAAATCTACCACTTAACAAACAAAATTTCTACAAGGAAATAATAACTCTCAAGGTGGTGCGCCTACCGCATCCAACAAAATCTACCCGTTAGAAGCTTGGTGCCAGTTACGATTGGAAATTCTCCTCTTCCTTATGAATGTGACTGCTATTCGCATGCCTCCATTCTCAAGAAAAAGGAGGACGAGATAAGCAGAGACCAACACCACTGGAGCACATGAAGTAAGCGCCGTTTGCAGGGTTGTGCAGTAGACATGATTTCTACTGATCATTCATTAGTAGAAGGATACCTCACTGGTGAAGATAGCCAGATTTGTCTGTTGGGCGTCTGTTTATTTATCACATATGTGCCCAGAGAACCAAGCTTCAAGGTAAGGACTTGATTCTGTGAAATACAGAGCCAGAAAAATATGAGCAACCAAGATAAGATTAGTTCCTATTTTTTGTGAGAGAAGTGAATCTAAGGGGAAAAAAAAAAAATGAAACCCGAAAATGGAATTAATTTCTGACCCCATAATCTATATCGAATCCCTCGACTTGAACCTCATCACCATATTCCTGAAATTACTCCCATAAATCAGGATAGTATATAGATGTGAATTACAATCTAATATCATAATAAGGACGCCAAAAGAGAAAGACAGAATAAAGATGTCCAAAAAACTCCACTATCACCTCCAATTTCTCTTGTAAGTCGTGGATTGTTCCGTCCGCCAAGCGGTGGAACTCGTCCTCTTCCAGAAGTGACCTGCACGGAGCCAAGAAATCCAAAATATCACTCCGAGCAAAGCTTTCCACCATCTCCGTAACGGCACCGCCCACATAGCAGAGAAAGTACCGGTGGTCCAGGGTGGCAGGCCCCTCCGTCTCATCCGAGGACTGCGGGGAGGAGGACGAAGATAATGACAGCCTTGAGCCAAATGTTGGTAGGGGAGTCCTCGAGCGGCTCGCATTGTGAAGGTGCGGAACGATCAGAAAAGAAGCAAAAGAAGAAGAAAATGGAGAAGCTTTCGCGGAGTAAGAGGAGAGAACACGGGGAGAGGACAGCCAGGAGACGGCCCTCAGCCGTCGTAGAAGATCCCCACGGCGAAGGCACAACCCCATAACCTCCGACCCTAAACCTCACTATAGAAGACGGCGCCACCGCCTACCAGCAGCGTACGCTCAGAGCACAAGAGAGAGAGAGCGCGACAGAGAGAGAGATGGGCTTAAGTGGTTAGAGCCCAATAGCCCACTCAAGATTTGTCAGACCCCGCTCATTAGGATTTGTGGGCTGAAATTGTTCATAACTCTCCGTTCCTCGCCATTAAATCCTGCGCAAATGCAAAGCTGTCGGGACGATGATGGCTCCATGAATTTTCACAAACTCAAATGTATCCGTTGGAGAGAGAGAGAGAGAGAGAGAGAGAGAGCGAAGAATTTTTCTGGTGAAGTGGGATACAAGGGGGAGTAAAACCATTCACAAAATGATCTTCATACATGCAAAAGTCTAAATATATACGACTATCAACCCATTGATATTGGATTATATCTCATAGTTTAAAATATAAAATCATAATATAGTCCCTCGATTCATTAGGCAAATTTAGAATGCAACTCCTAGATTGATTAGGGCATCCGTTCTTTTGAAGGAGTAACTTTTTCATTCATTTTTATGACAAAAATGATCAACAAAATCATTGGTTCTAGAAAATAAGAGAATTTTTTACGTAAATTGTCAATGATGGTTTTAAAGGAAAATAATAAGACTAAAGATGCTGTGACAATGAGGCTCTATAAACACAATATTTGACAAAATAAATAGAATATGCACCCAATAAATGCATACTACCAAGATGTGCCTTTTAGTAAATATCCTAAGAAGAAACACATGGAGATGGGAAGTATGAAAATAAAATAAAAATTATAAAATAAATACAATATAGATTCCCTTGAGATGTTTTCTCAGATGATTTGACAAAGAGGGGAAGGAGGGAGAAAGAAAGATCTTATCTAGAGAGAGAGAGAGAGAGAGATAGACAGACAAATAGAGTGAAATGAAAGACAAGAGAGAAGAGTGTCTGAATGTTCATTGTCAATTATGAAGAAACTCTAGGCCGCTAATTGCCAAAAAAAGTGTGGTATGAGGAAAATTAGAGAGAAAGTTTACCACAAAAAGAAGCATTCAATTATAGCAATTACTCTCGATTTTTTTTACCAAACTTACGTCTCAATGTAGATCCAAACATGATTATAATATCATACATAATAGAAATACATTAAGTAAAAAGGAAAAACATAATATCCTTAAACATTTATACATTTCAGTGTACTTGTTCATAAAACTTATCTAGGGAGAGAATATATATGCAGATATATATATATATAGATATACGTGAAAGAAGAGAGCGAGAGAGGGGGGGGGGTTGAGATGTGTGCAGAGTAATTGGCCACAATCTAATGGTTATTGTTAATTAAAATTAATTGAGACGATAACCAATAAGCTTTTATTATTTTTTGACTTCCCATATGAGAACGTTTGTTGATGGTTGTTCAAAGAAAGAGTTATTTAACACTTGTCCTATGATTAATGTCTTCCATGTTAAGTACATATGAGAACGTTTGTTATGTCCACCTGTACACGTAGATATGAAGAGGGAGAGAAAGAGAGGGAGTGAGGGATGGAGGGAAGGAGGGAGGGAAGGGGGGGGAGAGAGAGAGAGAAGAGAGAAAGAGAGAGAGAGAGTTCTTCGAATAATGAAATGATATACAAAAAAATAATATCTATTTATTTAGAATCGCATGCCATGCCACGGAAAAATCTAAATAGTTCTATATGCTCGTTGGAATAAGAACGTGTTAATCATGTAAAGAGATGAATTAGTTTTTTTCTAAATTATGATAAATATATAAATACTGTTTTAGGGTAAACTAATTTTTAAAATGTCTCCTTTCCGTAATTAAAAAGGGCAGCATAAGGTAGGTTTTTGTTAATTTTAATAAAAAAACTATTATTTTATATATTTCCGTAAATGCCTCATTTTAAAAATATTTAATTGCTATATTAGCGAGAGAGAGAGAGAGAGTTTATACTGATCAATTATAATTTCAAAATATGAAATTTAATTGGATCCGATAAGTAGATCAACGCTCGTTCCACCGGTCACTGGTATAATTATGAGGCGGCCACCAAAGCGGACAGCAGCAGCAGCAAGTCCTCTTATTGGATCTGGAAGCCCCTCTGTCTTCCGCCCTTCGCTTCCAGAGCGGACGGGAAGAACAGCAAAAACCCTAGGAATCCTAGCACGTTTTCCTCTTCTGCAGCGGTGGTCGGAGCTCTGGCAGGCTCTTGAGCCGTAGTTGTACGCCGGGGTGGAGGAAGGGGACCAGCCAGAAGTGGTGGAACCGGGGGAGGGGGGGTTAGGTTGGGGGGGCGCCTTGAGGGGAGATGGGGAAGAAGAAGAAGAGACCGTCGAAGGTGTGGTGCTACTACTGTGACCGGGAATTCGACGACGAGAAGATTCTTGTGCAGCACCAAAAGGCGAAGCATTTCAAGTGCCACGTCTGCCACAAGAAGCTCTCGACTGCCGGGGGCATGGCGATCCACGTTCTCCAGGTCCATAAAGAGACCGTCACGAAGTATGCCTTCATCTTCCTCGTTTTCTTTCCCACCCTCTTAATATTTCTTTGACACTGTAAAGCTAGAGCTTCTATAGATATTCTGGTCTGTTTGGTGACTTTTATTTATGTATCTTATTGGTGGCCTCATTGGTATGATTCATTTGCGAAAACCTTGATGGCATGGGAGGATAATATTGAACCTAATTTGATGAACCACAGTGATAAGTTATCGGTGTACCTCTGGATAGGGCAGGTTTGGCAAGCGACATAATTTGAGATCATGTTTCCTAATTGGCAATGTCCACATCATACTGCAAGCTCTAATGTGTCTGTCTGTTCGGGCTTCTGGCGTTGTGCTAGGAAGCTTGGGTTAATCAATGATATTACAGCTGAGAATGGGCACAGAAAAAGAAAGGCAGCAATTTAAAGCTTAAAAGTTAGGAAGCCATCTTCTGATGAAATCTGAATATTTTTTCATGAAATGCAATAAAAAATAACTTGAGGTGATGGAGAAGATGCTTCCACTAGGGATGCTATGGCTGCAGTCATCTATGAGTGTCTACAGTCCGATGTCAGCTGTGGCAGTTCGTGACTGGGTCTTGTTGCTTCTATGGCTGTTGGCAGCTGTTCTTTGCTTGCTGTAGAAGACTATCTCTGCTGGGATAAGATGCAGAGAAAAAAGAGAACCCAAAAATCTGTAGCCATTGCTTCTTGAACAAGTATTGTCTGTAGACCCCTTTCGCAAGAATTCGATGAAAAAGGTTTTAAGAGTTAATTTACTATTCCGTGTAACTCTGAACTGTTGTCAAGGTTATCGAAAAATACATAAATGTTTTTGTTTCCAATTGTCTTGAGCTCCCTGTTATTTCCGATTCTCTGATGTACTGTTTTCAGAGTCCTCTGTAGTGGTGGATTAAACGGAATCTGGCAAACCTACCCCATGTCAATAAGCTGTAGATGGACGGGTTTGATTCAAAGTTTTTTCCACTTTAAGGCTGGCGTTTGCCAGAAGTTATTGAAAGGGAATGAGGTCATGTCCAGTATGAATCAAGATTTAACAAGCTTGATTCAACAAGCACTTATCCTAGTATACTTGTGATTATGGGATGACTGACCGAGTGTTGGCATTGAATGTCGGCTTTGGAAAATGAGACAAAATTTTATTGTATACATTGAATGCCATATCAATGCACTTTGGCCATTGTCCTGAAGATCTGGCATTTTGAACGGTCAAGACTAAACTTGCGTGAACAGGCAGGGGCCTGGTATTGCAAAACATTCTTGTTTTTCGTGAGCAAGTTGAGGATAAGCATAGACCGGGAGATTCCCTAATTGGTCAACATTTCAAGGTTATCTGAGGGTCAGGGAAGATACATCTTGGCAAACTGAGACGTCTTTATTTCCAGGTAAAAAGAATGTTATAACAATTCCAGTTGTAGTATTTTGTGATGTAGAATTGGCCTAAAGTGAGTAGTTATATTGTTTCTTTCAGATAAGGATAATACGATAATGGACTGATGCAAGACATTGCAGCTTTTCTTTTTTGAATATAAAGGTTCTCTCAATTTTTCATAGGGGTTCTTGAATCTGAGGATGTATAACCAGAATTGGATTACGGAGTCAACAAGTCTGATTCTGACTTTAGTCGGATATGAACTGGCCTAATGTGACGAATGGTTTGGCATCAGTACATATCAAGGACTGCTAACTTCACTATATTCAGACAAGGATGATTTTCAGGTAGCAAGAAATAGGTGAACCACTTCTTCTGGAAGCTGAGATTTTAAAATTGAAAAGATGAGTGGTTTCTTAAGAGGGATAATGAGGTAGCAGAAGAAAAGAAGAAAAGTTCTTTTTGGTAATTGTTTTGAATACGTGCTCTGGAAATTTTCTTCACTACAATATGATGAAACTGATCACATAAATAAAAGCAAAATAATTTATTTCTCGACTGATCAATGTCATGGTCTGTGTGTGACTATCTCTATAGGTAGATATGTTTTGTGTGCTAGATGAGTACATCTGCAATTGAGCATTAAGAGATGTGCAGCGTGGAGAGCATGTTTTACATGGGGCATCTCTGCTCCTGGGGTATTGCGGATGGATAACCATGAGGAAGTCGGATAACTTCTTGAAATACATGACAGTGGATTTTATGTTTAGAAAGTTGTATTCGTATTCACCCGCCTATTGTGTGGTTAAACACCTTTCGTTCCTCATCCCCCCTTCATGAAATATATCTTGATCATTTATTTTTCATCATTTGTTTTTCTGTGATTCCCTTTTCGAACACAAAATGATGGCACCACGTTACTTTCCGGGGTTCACACTTCAAGTGTAGCTTGACTGGTTATTTCTCTTGGACTTCATTCTAGGTACTGATTTTCTCTTTTTTTTCAAGGGTCCCCAATTCTAAGCCTGACCGAGAATCGACAGAAATCGAAATATATGGAATGCAAGGAATTCCTCCTGAAATTTTAGCAGCTCATTACGGAGAAGGTATTTCCATATTCGACATATCTTGGTGTTGGCTTTATTCTTATTCATACTCATATTGTAGGAATAATGACTCTTGTTACATTTTCATGGAAGGTTGTAATTGACACCTTTAAATTTCCAACGTTTCTATCGTAATGAAACATTTTTCAGGATTTCTTCTCTTGGTTTTGTAATTTTTGACATATCCGCCATTTATAAGAAGAAAAGAAGAAGACGATGACTGGGGAGAATTCAGATGGAGACTAATTTAGAAATGTTAGTTAAATGCGATGTCGGGCAAAATCAGGACAGAATGCGTCCTTGGTCCCTTTTAGTCAGAGTTTAGTAGACAATGATAACAATTCACTGATGAATTGCTGTGTCAATTGTTTGCTGGAAGACATTGTTCACTTTTGTGTGTGCTTCTTTTCTCTGTCCCGTGAATATCTATGTTAAGTTGGTACGATTAAGCTCTCTATTTTTCTTCAAACTTTGGAGCATGGAAAATATAATTTCTTGCCTTCTTGTTCATAGAGCAATTTCTCTCTCTGGTTTGAAAATTTTATCTTCTTTTTCCTTAATCCTGTTTAGGACCTTGGTCCTTCTGATTTCCAAAACATTTAATATTTGCGGGCCTTGTGAGAGCCATGCTCTCCATTTTCGTTGCTTTTTCAAATTTGAATTGTGTGCCTTGTTTCTTTTAGTGGTTTTTGTGTGTAATCATATCTTTCGTGATTCATCCCCCTCTTTCACGTTTGTCATCATTTCACTTCTTTGCTTATTTTTGTTCATTGAGAGGACTTGTAAGTCTCTGAAAGGTATAGATAGTTGTTGGCTAGTCGTTTTGTGAAATGCTTAAGCTTTTGCAGTGAAACAACAAAGTAATACGCTAAAAAGAGGTTTGTTGCTTTTGCTTGTGTCATGAAAATGATCAGGTGCTGGTATGCATGTCATGCAGAGAGCTAGATGGACTAAACAGCAGGTTTCTTTTCCGTTTTTACCCATGACGACATGATCGCTCGTTCCTAGCATATTCCTTTTGTTACCGTGTTTTGTAGTACTAGTTTGGAATCTGTTAAAAATTATCAACTGAAATATCTGTTTTTTTTTTCACTAGGTTGACATATTTTGGTCTCGTTTATTTTGGAATTGGTCCTGGAAAATGGTGTAACGTGCTGATTATATGCTAACTTTATCAGTGCTATAGGACTAATGAGAATATGGCCGTCTTTAGTCTTTCTTACTCAAAAGACTTGAAAGATAATGGACGGCCTCATGATCATTTTAATATGCTCTTCCAGAAATGGAGGACCATTCCAGTAAAGTGAAGGAACATTCACCAATGTGCTGCCTTTTGGCATCCCAGAACGTTAGCTCTATTTCTCGTTTGTTTTTTTCGTTTTATACATATTCTTTTTGATTGGGAAGATTGGGGGGAGGCATGAAAATGATCAATGATCTAACCCTGAATATGGCAGCAATGATCAAAATCAATTAATTAACTAATCGCCCTTAGTTGAACAAAAATGTTCCAAATTTCATTTTGTTAAACTGTTCGCAGGCCTTGAGTTTGCTTGCTTTGAATGGTTTATGGGTATATGATTGTGAGTTGTTCACCGCTGAAAAGGGAGATTAAGTCATCTGAGAGGTGGACCTGGGCCATGTGTCGAGACTGGAGATCCTCTGTTTTGCCTCAGCCTCTCTTGCGAGAGAGTGAAGAACAACAGCTTTCCAGTTCAAAAATAGGGAGAGAACAGAAGATTGGTAGAGGGAAATGGAGAAGGATGAAATGGAAAAATATTGAATGGAGTGGGGAGTGAGAGGGCTGTGTCATACTTTACAATTGTTTGCATATTCTGCCTAGCTTATCATCACTTCTGTTATTTCTACTGGCTGCCACCATCACAAAGGTTTCTTTATTTATGTTTTCTTATATCTTTCCTTCTATTTCCTTTCTTGCTTTCCTGTTCTGCTGCTGATACTATTCCTACTTTATCCCCCACCTCTGTTTCTTCTTTCTTACCCTTTATTTATTTTTTCTTTTTTCCTTTTTTTCCATTTATTTTCCTCATCTCATCATATTTCTATTTTATTATTCTGCTTTTTTAAAAGAAGCCAAATGCCGTTGGATGACAACTGATTTGGACCAGGAATCTGCTTTTGAGCCTGAGCAACAGAGTGTCACGGGCTGGTGACAGTGGTTCTCATTTGATGACATTTCTATAATTATCAGACCTACCCTAGTTGGGTAAACAAAGCCAATTGGTTCATTCTGTTTTTTTAATCTGTTTAGCTATATTATTGCAATGCCGATGGTCTGTTTTTGTGTCTCATCTGGGTAGAAACTGAGGTTGCCTAAATGAGGATCCCAGATGCTTATTATAGTTTCTTTAATAGTTCTCAGCATTGTGAACGTTTTTTCTTTTTCCTCACATGTTGTTATCATCATCTATCACAAAACATAATTATGTTGCAAGCAGTTGTACTGAATATGCTGTTGCTCTTGACCATTTATTTGTATCTATCTTTGGATGTAGATGATGATGCTCCATCAAAGGTTGCCAAAGTGGATGCTCCCTCTCAGATAGTTAGCAACCTGGTGTCTGGATCATTAGGCGTTGGGCTTCCTCCACTACCAGCTTACGGCGTTGTACCACCCATGTATGCATTCCAGTGCCCGAAAACTTTCATCATATTCACTTTCTTTTAATCATAGGACTGAAGTCTGTCTAAAACTGGTGTTCCACTCCCAATTCACTTCTAGAGGATAACGCCTTTCTTGTATTTCTCCGGTAATGATACTGTATATGGAACATTGACCGATTGCTAGACCTTCAGAGTTTTTTATCGTTCTTATGTTAAAAAATCTTAAATGCGACACAATTTTGGGGTGCCTGTAAGTATGGTTAACAATTTTTTTTTTCCTTACAGCTACAATCCCGCAACATTGACTGCACAGCCTTCTGTCTGGCCACTTCCACCTCGTCCACAACCATGGTTTCAACCTATGCCAGTTGGTCCTCTTCCACCTGCCATGCCTTCAGGACTGGCAACACAACCTGGTTTGTTTCCCATACAGAACGCTCAGAATATGTTAACTTCCACTCCTCCTGGATACCAGCAAGGATCTCAAATTGGTCCACCTGGTCTCCCTTCATCAGCGCCTTTTCCTGTGTCTCAACCATTATTTCCTATTAGTACTAGTAGTGCTCCATCATTAGGTCCTCCTGGTCTCCCTTCATCAACAGCTTCTGTATCCCAACCATTATTCCCGATTACTAGTACAAGTAGTATTCCTTCACAAGGTTCATTTCTATCAGCAAAAATTCCTGGAACTGCTCCATTGAGTTCAATTGAACTGACGAGTTCAGTGGATGCGAGTTCTATGACAACTACAGTTGTGGGAAGCTATAATCCTCCAAGCACACAAGGTCTGGGCTTGACTTTATATTAACAGCTGAATTCTGTTTACTTACTGCATTATTGTCAGTCGTTTCTTTACACATCGAATTAATAAATTCCGTATATTTACACCTTGGTTTTGATTAGCTTCTTAGAACAATATTCATGTTTAGGGTAGATCAGGCCATCGTGTATCCTACTGATGGGGATTTTTTGTGGTTTTGTTTTGGCTTCTTCATGCATTTAAAAAGTACACTTGCGATGCATCTTGCCATTTTTATTGAGTAAAGGTTCTATTTTGCCTTTTTCAGAAAACTATATTAGAACAAAGCTTGTGTTCAGTACTACTGGAATCCTACTACGTCAATTTGCAAAACAAACCGGTTATCACTATCATTTATCGCCATCATTGGGGGAAAAAAAAAAGCTCTGTATGGACATGTAGAAAATTCTCATATAGGCTCACACAAGAACGACTCCTGTGAAATTATCACAGCATGTTGTAGAGTGCACAGTTCAAGAGGACTCCCATACCGAGCCTTTTTTGCTTATCTTTGTTTTCTAAGGATCGATGATCTTTCTGCTCCAATTTCTATCTTTTCCCCTCCCACTGAATGAATTTTTTTCTTGCCATAATGTTCAGTCCTATTATATTAATATCAGTAATATAGCTATGTTCCCAGATGTAGAAATATAAGGAGGATCCCTTTCCATTGAAAGAAAGGAGTGAAAATTCATGCCGATACAGGACATAGGAATGAAAATAAATGACTAAATTAACCCAATTTTCCTGATGCTTCTTGCCGTAAATTATAGAAGCAATCAAATCAAGCCTGTATATTTCCAGATGCTGCCATTTAGTAATTTGTTGTTTTTCCCTTATACCAAGTTTGATGCTTCTCAAGTTATTTGATTCTCTAGCTTCTATTTTCACTTTGAAATACTTAAGTCAGAAGCATGAATAAGATCTAATCCATGTTTATATCACCATGTCTACATGCTGAACTCCCACTTATTGTTATTTTCTTCCACGACTTGTTATGGATTTTAAATATCGTAGGGGATTTCTTAAAGGTAACTGTCTGATAAGCTTGAGCATCCACATAGATGTCATAACTGACTTATTTGAAATTGATGTAGGCGCTCATGACAAAAGGATTTGGAAGAGAAATTGAATTGGGATGACATAATTGCCAACGGGTTGATCAAAATATGTTGGGAGAAATGTCTGGTTTTGTGATCAAGGATATGGCTCGAATTGGGATTTAATTAAGGAAATGCTAGGCGGTTGAAAGGAGTCCCACTTGCCAATATTGTTGTGGGAAATAATAATTTTCTAATAATCCTTTTTTCACACAAAAGCAAGAACCACAGGCACTGGAACCATAGCAATGTATCTAAGGATGGCTTAAGGGGGAGAGCATGGGTCAAAGTTAGTTCTCTTATGTGATTAGTATAGGATGACTGTAACAAAATATTTACTTTTTTGTAAACCCTAGAGATTAGGGTAGTTGACATCAATTACTGGGTTGCTTCTTTACCTTTCGTTTTCCAATTGAGGCAGCCTTTGTTTGATATATCTCACATTCCCATATCTTGGAATACGTTTTCCTCTTTGCAGGTGGTGCATCGTTCCTCAGCTCACATATGTACGCTTCTGGACCGAATACCGGTGGCCCCTCAATCGGGCCTCCACCTGTGATATCTAACAAACCACCTGCTTCTCAGCCTGCCACTAATGAGGTCTACTTGGTCTGGGATGATGAGGCAATGTCGATGGTCAGTTTCCAGAATCACTCATATACATACATATCATGTTCAAGTACAGTCATTCGCTAGAGACTTTCAGTCATCTGTGTTATTTTCCTGTCGAATTTCAGGAGGAAAGAAGAATGTTCTTGCCGAAGTATCAGGTGCATGATGAAACTTCCCAGGTAAGTTGTAACCATCTCTTTTAGCTGGTACCCACACTACCCACAAGATGCACGCTTCAAATCTTGTAGGTAGACTCTTTTTTTCTTTTGAAGGCCTTTAGATTCCTGCTATTTTTAATTCCTCAAAAGATTTTTTTAAACCCTGGGACATTAAATATTCATTCCACAGACCTCCATAAGATTAAATGGCCCAATTGACTTTTGTTCTTGGTTTAAATGCTCAATAATGTTTGTTCTTCTAGGCCTTTTTTTAATATTAATTTATACTATGAGACATGTTGAATGGTAGTCCTCAGCCTCTGCTTTGCGAGGAATTCAACCTAGTTTGTGGCGTCAAAACTTCCAAGTAGGTATCCAAAAGTTTATTTCTGCTAGCTTAGCATTGCAAAGTCTGACAGACTTGTACGGACTCTGATACCGGCAAAAAAGGGGCTCTTGCCGTAGCAGGAAGTGCCCATGTGAAAAAGAATGTGTATGCATGTGTATGTATGATTATCATTTCGATCAAGGTTTCACCTCTGTCCATTGTATTCGTTCATTCTCCCCATCGCCAACGAGCTTGGGCGTTTGGGTGGACCAAGAACATGGCTGGGAGACGGATTTTTCTTTTGGCCGTTTTGTGGGGTTTCTTGTTTATCTGTTTTTGATCACAGTGTGCGACCAGCCAATGGTACAGGTCAGCTTTTATTCAGCCAGCAACAGTTTGCTATCTATCTCTTCTAGATAGTTGAATCTCTGTTCATATTCCTCCTTTCTTCATCCGAGACAGTAATCAAATGGGGTGTCTCTGATTAATGCTTTCTTCTCTCTGTTTCAGATGAACTCCATTGATGCAGCCATTGACCGCAGAATATCAGAGAGTCGCCTCGCTGGACGTATGGCCTTCTAATTCCCCCCCTCCTCTTTTCTCTCTCTCTCTCTCTCTCTCTCCACCCTCCGTGGAGGATGGCCTGCCTGTTGATCCTTGTACACCATCCTGCTCCAATCATCCAACAGAGAGAAATGTTTATCGGCCGCAGCCCAATTGTTTTATCTAGACAGATTTTCGTGTCCAAGTTTTCCCACGAATTTGAGTTTTCTTTCTTCTTCTGGCTTCATTTATCAGCTTCATTCTGAGTTTCTTCTTCAGCCCCCAATTTAAAATCTATACATGTATACGTGTGCGCATATATATATACATATTTATTGTATCTTTTTCTGGAAGGTCATCGCATGAAGGAATGTGCCAATCATGTGCAGTGTGAGGATCCTACTCGTAGATCGGGGCAGGGCTTGCCTTGGCTAAGTCCCTGAGCTGGGATGGAGCATTGAGGGAAGGCCAGTGAATTCCACCCTCGCACCATGGGCTGTCGGATCTAGGGTTTGGTACTACGATCATCACGAGTATAGTTCGGGGGTCTAGGAATTTGGGTGTTGGACGATGATGCAACCAAATTGACGCCGAGAAGATTTAGAAAACTGGATAAAGCCTGATTGACCCTTGTATTTTCGTCAGGGATCTCAACCCCGCATGCAATTCCCGGGTTTTACCATCTCTGCCGGGTTGACCTTGTTGGGTTGATCCACTGGTTTGACCATGCTGCCGGGTAGGCTTAGTCAGACATGCCCATGTGAGGCCTAACTAAGGGATGGCGTTGACGATTCTTCTATTTATGGAAAACCAACGGTCTTGTTCGCCTGAGGGCTCACGAGCTTATTCAAGGCGGCGCCGCCACGAAAAGTGGAAGAGGCTGCCGGCGGGAATTTCCCCCGACTTGTACGAAGTTGGATCGGAGGGGATTGGTGTTTCATGCAAAGAATGCACCGCCAGTGATTCGTCGGCCGGCAGCCATACGGCTAAAATTTTGAGGATAGAGAACGGGACTCGATTGACCATATGCCACAGCCGCCATTAATGGAAATCTAGTGGATAAATCTGTGAATCATGGGAGGAAGCGTATTTTTACACAGGCTTAGTACACAAACTTCTTAGGCGTATATTACTTTTCGAATACAACACATTATTTACTTCACAACACCTGGTTCTTCCTCTCTGCCTGTCTCCACTCCCACCCACCCTTCTCTCTGTCTCTCTGTCTCTCTGTCTCTTTGACTCTCTGTCTGACTTAGTCTGCGGGGCCTCTCTCCGTTGTCTGGATTTGCATCATAATTTAGACGCTGCTGATGGGGTTGGGGTAGGCGACAACGCAGGAGCCCACGAAGGGAGAGAACTGTCGGCGGGAGGAAAGGGGAAGGTTTAGAAAACACAGAAAAACAGCAAACAGTTTATATGCCGATGTCTTTAGCGGTTGTCGTTGGAATTATCATTGTGAGAATACGCCATTATTCACCAGCGAAGACATCTCTCTGTCTCTGTCTCTGTCTCTGTCTCTGTTCCTGTGTAACACCTGACGAATGATTACCAAATAATTGCAGACGCCTCTCTCACTCGCTCTCTTCGCCCTCTCTGTGATCGCTCCCAACTTATTAGATTATTATGCCAGCGCGAGTCAACATCCGTCCCTCTCAATGTGTGTGGGTGTTTGTGTCCAGCCCCCATCATATGATCACTACTCCATGCATGCGACCCCACTATCCTTGGGACGAAGCCTGCCTAGTTTTTTCTTTCTCCTTCTTGTCCCTCTCAACACATCATGCCCCCTCGCTCGACGTTATTATTTGTATATGCCCATTTGTTCCATAGCCAAAGAAAATACCCCTCCCTACGCCTCTCATCTCCTTAAAAAAATGGAATACGGCAGACTCCAAGATTTGACTTCCGCATAGCTGACTCATCAGGCACCGGTTTTCTACAACAACAACGTAATATCGATACCCCAAGTCTAGATGTTCCTACCGAGTGCTGTTGCAAATTTGCCCCTAAAATAAGGGTTAAGTGCTATTATCGCTTCCTTCTTACAGTTTTGAATTAATGTGCACTGCAATCAATAATGCGTGCTTGACAGCCTGCCCCAGAGGAAGGGTTGGATGAGTACATCGCGTTGTTATTCTGACATAAAGGACATGGATCTCCAAATCTTTTACCCTCCAAGGTCAGGTGCCTTCTCCACCGCTGATGGCGTCACCTCGCACGCTACGTACGTCTGGTCTATCGTCGGACTCGCCCCACTTATCTGTCCCTCTATGCCCAAGAAACTTAGCGGGGGAAATGAGGCGGCGAGGGTATACTGCGATGTGCTCTGGCAATTCTTCGGCCCTACCCTGCCGCCTCTCTCTGTGGCGAAGCGCGACTGCTCGGCTAGAGAAGAGAAGAGGGCGGTGCTTAAGCTGAAATATGCACTGGGCTCACACATCCATGCTCCCCTCAAGCGCACTGGGGTTCCTTATCCCCGTCCCCCTGCCTAATCACCATGGGTGAACAACGTGTGACAACCGGCATGGGGACGCTGATGATTGACGCGATCGCGACTGGGTACAGCCACCCGTCTCAATGGATCGAGCCCCGCCCACTGGACGGAGACGCAGGCAGGAATAACATTGATGACGGCCACTTTCACACTCACATCAACGGCCGCGATGAGAAGCGCATCAAGTCGGAGCTAATTCGTCAATGCATTATCTTTCAAAATCTAAGTATGAGCTGTGAAATGACTTCTTTGGCCCAATCTTTCTCTCATTACTTCAACTCTGCATGTGTTGATGGTGGTGTGTCTACGTTTTTATCTGGCAAGTTCTGATTTCCTGAAGATAGCATAATGTGATGATTCGTTCATTTGTTTTATGGGATGGATGAACCACAAGAGAAGGCCTCATGGCTTATGTTTATCAGTCGTTCAATTTATTTTATAAATTAAGTCGCCTAAGAGAGTGCCTTCTGCTGCGCGATATTTATCAATTAGAAACGTAAAATCAGCTGATAATATTTTAAGAAGAAATTTTATCTGTGCAATTTATTGTAAATATTTCCTATACTTCCGGAAGAGCATCTTAGTCCTGGGGATGATTCTTAGCTTTTTGAAATTGATTGGAGCTACATATTGACAGGCGCGACATCTCTCTCTCCCTCTCTCTCTCTCTCTCTCTCTCTCTTTCTCTCTCTCTCTCCAGGCATGTCAGCCCGGATAGGCAGATTAAAATCGGGTAATAGTACATCAACAACTAATACAATTATACGACGTATAATTTAACATAAATAGGTTATTATTAGACGGTTAAGATATCCGAATACGGGGCAGATCATAACACAAGGGATGATTTGAGATGCATCTGGTGGATAAAGAATGTAGGAACGACATTGGCTAGTCACCTTGCAGCCGACCAGCTGATACCATACGCGGCCCTTTTCCTCGATGCAGGTTTCATGCCCCTCATCGCCAAATGAACTTTGGAGATATCAGGGGTTCGCAGTTTAAAAACTCGTACAGTACGTCTCTTAGCTTTACTACGATGACCATGGAAAATTCTGGGCGACAGATGTTTCTGAAGGTAGATTAACGTACGATTTTCTTGGAGGGATCCTCTGAAATTGTTCACGTGAGAGTAATATGCGTGCAAATATATATACATATATAATGTCTAGAAGAGAATTGTAGAAATGCCTCGGAATTCCATGTCAGGACTTCTTTACCTTTCGTCACTTTTCCTCACCCATCTACAATGATCTGTCTCTCTCCCTCTCTCTCTCTGCCTCTGACTCCCTGATTATATATCCGCGCAAGTACTAACATGGTTATGTATTCTACCACAGCCTTCGATTGTCTTTTAATGTTAGATTCTTTCTCCGAAGGACATCTGTTCAAGCGAGCGTTGAAGAGCACTAACATCCTCTGCAGTACCGGTCTGACGGAAGACAGGGGGAACCAATTTTCAATAAGCGAGAGATAGTCTTCCTTGTTCCTCCTGCTGGGTTTTTCCTGTAACTTGTGAGGTGATCTCGCCGGCGACGTCTTAACTGCCGTCGTCTCTCCGGCGAGTTTCTGACAATTTTGCTCGCCAGCCTAAACTGAAAGTTGAACATAAATTAAAAAAGTGAAATTTACCGGAAGGAGTTTGGTCATTTCGCTAGAAAACGAACAAGAAAACGAACCAAAGAGAGAAATGAATAGTTCGACGGCAGCCAGCCATTCCGCCGTACAGCTAAGGATCGGATCCTCCCTGCGTAAAATGCAGCCCACGGAATCCTCCGCATTATGATTGTCAAGGTAGGTCCCCCCGTGCCAGATCATATGCGATCCGCAGACCATGATGGATCATCGACAAGGAACTACTCCGTAGAATGGGGTAACAGCTCAAGGAAGAGTATCCGGTTCACCATCCGCAGGGCATCGCCAAGGTGCTTTCTATGACACGAGGTAATATTGATCAACAATGCTCTTGACCTCTCCTTTGGATCTAGTAGGAACCCCTGAGACGCTGCGGACACGATCCTCGAACATTATGGAAAGTAGATAGCCTCAATTGCGAATGGTCAATTCGAACTTTGTCTCTTTATTTATGATCCTCATGTTCTCTGACTCAGAGAATGGCTTCCTTCCGGTCAAGTTGACTATAAAGTGGCGAGCACAGGTTACTGAAGGCTGACAAATGAATTCCATCTGTCGATGACACCCGTAGAGCGTCCTTTCGGTTTCCTCGTAGTTCGTCATTTTGTACGTGCGAGTAAAGATCTCGCGGGGACATTCATCCTTTGATCTCTCTCTCTCTCTCTCTCTCTGCACCCAGCTGTCGTAGTTGCTCCGAAGGATCAGCAAGCGTATCTTTCTCAGGTTGCATCAACGGCCCTTTTCCCGCTGTTTTTTCTCTCTATATCTGTATAGCCGCACTTAATACGTATACATCTATTCCCCCCAACCCTGCACCCTTAATAGCGGCTGCACTTCCAATCCCCCCACGCCCCGGCCGGTCTCTTTTTCTCTAGTTGTTGCTCCACTTGATCTGTTTGCCCATCACACTCATCATTCTCTCGGTCTACGGCGGTGACTCGTCTGTTTTGATTACTTTCCCGCCATTCAATAGAATGGCGAGTCCTCCGCGTGATTCTGTCTCCCTCTACTTTCCCGTACTTATCATTAGCAATGTGACGTCTCCTGCAGCAGTGCACCTATAAACGTGCCTGTCCATGGTAAGAGGGGACTTCATATTCAGAGGACAGTGTGGACCAATTAAGCTATGTACTATATATAATAGCGCATCTCCCAGTTCTGAAATACTATTAATATAACAGGATTGGAGGCAAACGTTATTCTGTTTTCCCCCTTGGGCTGAAATTAATTCTAATTACGTAGAGGTCGAATCAAGTTTTGATTTTGTTTTTGTCCTTCCGGCTTTTACTGCTCCGCCCGGCTGGCTGATCGCAGGTGAAATGCCACCAATGATAACTTATCATTGTGTTCTTTGGAACCTGCCATAGGATAGAATCATGGTTTCTGAATCTCTGCTTAAATAAGGAGTATCTATCTGGAAAAATCAGTTTAAGGGCCTTTCTGAAAGATTACCTTTTATTGGTAGTACATTTTAGGGAATGCTAATTTTGTAAGAATTTCGCTTGTTAATGTGCGATTACCAGCGTAGCGGAGACGTCTATGCTCACCACAGTAGGTAGGACAGAATATCCTATTGAACTTCGAAGTGCGAAATGATACTAGTCATTTATGATTTGACGCATCTGCAGAAGGCGTTACAGAGGTTCGCTGAATTTATGGTGTTCGTTGGTGAAATCAACTGTGGTTTTTTGTGAGGAGAAGAGAATAGAGTCAATTTTGTCCCAATGCTTAGTAGGCTTTACACAAAGCGACATTCATAAGAAAGACATTGCCCAAGTTGAGATTTATTAGGAGGCTAGTACACCGACGTTTTTATGAGGTTCCTATCAATATCGTTGACCTCTACTAAATTGCCCATTCATCAAGCCCGTGTTTTTATTTGAGGTTATATAAGAGGGATGGCTCCATCCGAAACACTTAGGGTATTTGCTTGCCGACTGTTTATTTTGAACCACAGAGAATACCGGTTTAGGAAATAATTTAAGATTGTCCAAACCATAAAAATCCTTTTCCGGTTGTTAATATCATGTATAGTTGACAACACAATTATCATGATGTATGTTAGGAGCTTCATGCTGAAAATCAAAGAACATTATAAGACCATGATAATCAGGAGCGAATGGATGCAATTCTAATTTAGTTTACTATGAAAATTATATCTAATGTTTTAGGTCTAGGAGAATAGACATAGATGTAAAAGCAACATTCAGATACTACAAGTTCCTGGGCATGATGCATAAAACAATTCCCACAGTAGAAGTTCTTCCTTTTGGCACCATTAGTCTAATCTGCATTCTTGCCCATCAAGTACTTAAAGAAGGGTGTTGGCAAAAGCGGAGGTTTCATCATTGGAGTCATGACTCATAAGAATTACTTCTTGATGTAGAGAAACAATTGATATCACATTAATGTCCCATTCCCTCTTGTGAAGTTATCTTTCTCTTGATGCATCCCATTAGTTTGCTAGCGAAAAATAGTATATGAGAAAGGTTACTGCGAAGGAAGTAATGATGTCATTATTATCAAGGTGGCACAATAGGGAAAAAGTCAAGTAAGACCCATAAATAGTTCGTTCCTATAATGTCATGCATATGGTCACTTATTTTGTTTAAAAGAAAACTTCAGTGCAAAGAGGATAAAACAGGGATAACAGAATGCAGCTATGGATTCATTTAATCTATTGAGGATATACATGATTGTGCAAATCTTTATGTGATCATCTTTGCATAATAAGGTGAAGGAACCTAATTGAATTAATCTTACATACAGGATAGCTTAAAAGTATACTGTAACAAGGTGGCTTACAATCATATGTGATCCTTGCATGATAGTGGTGATGTCAAAGGTGAGAATATATATTGCATCTGTGAATTAAGGTGAAAAACTTCTACATAATAATTTTTTTCGAAAACATTTAGATGTTTGGAAATTGCTTTGGAAGGTATAAGGAAATATATAAAAAACATTCTTCTCCATCACATGCATTAAATTTTATTCATAGGTTGCAATGAGTTTTAGATGACACTCATATAGATAAAGAGATTACAATACTTGGAGTAAAGAAAGAAACATTAATAAAATATATTAACAACTTGATTGGGTTGATTTTGGATCTAGGGAATTCTTAGGCAACCTAAGCATGAAAAGTTTACCTTTTTATTAGAATGTGATGAGACAATAGTAGTATCATTTGAAATTATTCATGATTGGTACAATACTTGATTGTTTGTCCATGTTGGATCCTAGAGGAGTATGAACATCTTGAATCATCTTTGGGATGAATGCATTTCATCATAGTGAGAACTTTAACTTAATGGTAATGGAGGCTGCTATATTGGTAGAACCCAACAAGTAACACTGGCAATAATTATAATACAGTTGTGAGTACGTTGGTTAGCCCTTTTTGTTGATATAAGGTACCTTCTAAATTCGGTTGTTTGGGCTGCACTATATTTTATTCATAAGTCCCATCCAACGGAGGATGCAAGAAGATTCAACTCTTGGGTTCTTTCATGTCACTCTTGAATTCTAGGAAGCATGAGTATGTGAAATATGGTACAACAGTATTGCAATTTTGCATGAATATGAGTCATCAAGCTAGAATTATTATTGATAACGTAACGGTGAATAAAGGACCTTGTGAGAACGTACTCAACATCCGTAAGAAACGCCTTTTTAAGCAAAAATGTGATCTGAAGGCATTACATTATTGCTTATTTCGAACAAGGACAGAACAGGCAGAGGAAATATTAGTATTTATGGATAATAGACATGAATAGCAAGGTATCACAACATACTATAATATTAGGGGGGAATGAAGCGGACTTCAACAATGAGCATCATTTATATTTTTTGGTTTACATGCTTCAACTGGTTGTTAAATGTTTTTAGATATATTATTTCTTCAATCATTTGCTAATTTTTTAGTAGATTTGATATTAACTCGACTGATTATAAGAGTAAATAGAAGTGAAATGTAAAGGTTTTGTGCGGCACATTGACTCTCCTCTCTCTCTACGCACTCTTCCCGAAAACGTATCCCGTCTTCTTCCCCGCTCCTACCTCTCTGTGTCTTTATCTCTCTCTCCATTACAGGTCCCCAGGTGGGTCCAAAAAATATGCCTGACAGTCCATTCGCCCATCCCTATGGAAAAGGCAACAACAGGGTCGATCTTTTTGTCGCTTCTTACTTTCTATCCAAGCTGCCACGGTCATCAGAACCATCACCTCATTAGCATTGTCAAAATGAGATAATTGTCCTTTCGGCCACCAAACACTGAGAAACCCAGTCTGCGCCTACATTTTTTGAAGTTGCTCATAATAACCAAACGGGAGGCCTCCGAGTGCAGAAAAAGAACCTACCTGAAACGTATGAACAGTGTCCATCTCGGCCTACCTCCTTAGGTGTGACGTCATGTTGGCTGTCGTGTTGACTTTCTCGGTATGAACGAATCTATCGGCGGTTCTCTAGTCCAGGGGGCAGAACTTATAATGATGACATCCTGTCGACATATTGACTATTGACAAAGACCTTTCTTATGTCTTTCCGAATTCGCCATTGCAGAAATTCTTATTTCTTAAATGGGTCGCTCTGCAAAAACACTGAATTCTTGGTTGCTATACTTGGGAACCTATATCAAATTTTATTTCTTTTTGTCCTTGCATACAGGAATAGAAAAAATAAAAGGTTTTTTCTGCAAGATAAGTCGTTCTGAAACGTCGGCTGTAAAACGGCCACTGGTCTGTGTAGGACGAGGCGACCCCAGGATGTCGCTACTATGAGCACATTGATTGACCAGAAGGACGCGAAGAGAAAATAAATAAAATGAATGATACGTGAGTTTTTCCCCACGTCTGGATCTCTCGTCCTCCAGAAGCTCGCCGCCGATGATCTCACGACCCACGCTTCACTCTATACGCCTTTCAGGGAGGCGTGGCCTATAAATTGCGCCGTCGCCCACATGCCACCGCTCCCTACGACCGCAGCTAAGAGAGGAGATATGGCGGTGGCGAGGAAAGCTTTGGCTGCGTTCTGTTGGTTCTTGTTCTTGGTTCTTTCGTTGCCGGCTCTCACTCGTGCCCATGGCGATGAGGAAGATAGCGGCAAAGAAAGCGATAAGTCTGGAGCGCTGAAGTGGAAGATCATCGGTATTGTCATTATACTGGTCTCCTCAACTATGGGCATCCTCATACCGATTTTGGGCAAGCGATGGCCCATCCTGAGTCCGGATAGAGACGCCTTCTTTGTGATGAAGGCCTTTGCGGCAGGGGTGATCCTGGCCACGGCGATGATCCACATCCTCCCGGAGGCCTTCGAGAGGCTCTCGGCGGAGAGCCTGCCGATGGCCCCGTGGGAGAACTTCCCCTTCGCTGGCTTCGTCGCAATGGTAGCCGCGCTGGGGACGCTGATAATCGACGCCTCCGCGACGGGATATTTCTACCGGTCTCACTTCAACAAATCCCAGCCTGTGGAGGAGAGATCCATGGACGAGGAGGTGGCCGGTCATCTCCACGTTCACTCCCACGGCTCGGCGCCCACCTTCGAGTCTTCCAAAGGAGAGGATCACAGTAAGTCGCAGCTGATTCGGCACAGGATTATCTCACAGGTAAGATGATTATCTATCCCATAGTTAGATACGTAGCTAGGATTCTTCCACTTTCCCTCATTGTGTGGCGCCCGGCATGAATTTCTTCTGTTCATTCAGAATCCGCATGTATGTCGATGAGATCCCCGTTAGATGATCTTCTCTATTTTTTTTTCTAGAACTCATGATTCCTGATGACGGTTCATGTAAATACCGGAGACTTGAGTAAAGTACTCCGGACTGTAGGGGGACAGTAGGGGTTTCTCACTCCCTTTATTAGCCGTTAATCATATGTGCGAGACTCTGCACATACGATCTCATCTTCATCTGGACTATTGGAAAAGAGAAAATATCTAATAATGTAATAAGTAGAATTTTCCTCGAGACCATTTCTAAGGAACCAGGATGAAGATTACAAGGGAAATATGTAACGAAGGGATGAACAAGTTTAAGTGCTGATTACTCCCATATATGCTGAAATACGAGAGTAGAGTCTGGTAAATTTTCTAAACAAGTTTAAGAAAAAAAATATATCTTGCGGTCTATACTGGCCAAATATTATATTATTTCTTTGAACGACTGTCAAATCTTAAATTAATAAAATGAAGGAATAATTCGACGAGTAGGCCCGTCCTCGCGAACGGGTAATGCAACCCCGTATCACTTAAGATAACCATCGACGATTATTATCCCTTTCGTACTCTTCTACTTTGTGCAAAATTGTCAAATATCTTTCTTCAGATTATTTATAGGTCCACTGAACAAGTCGTCGTTTTGGGAATTCACAATCGCAAGTATTGACCGGAGACTTGCTAGCATAATAATAAACCATCAGTTGTGGACAAGTGACTGACGTATTCCATGGACATTTGAATAGGTGCTGGAGCTTGGAATTGTGGTGCACTCTGTTATCGTTGGCATCACAGTGGGTACTTCTTTATATCCCTCAACCCTCCGTCCCCTTGTGGCAGCTCTTTGCTTCCACCAATTTTTTGAAGGCATTGGACTTGGTGGCTGCATCGTTCAGGTACTTCTGCTCTATCTCCTCACTTACCCAATAGGATTACTGTTCTTGGTTTGCTTATCATTCACTGTCTTAGAGATAGATAGCCGGTTGTCTTTGCGGTTCATACCTATCACGATCCTCAGAGATTTCCAAAGGCAACAACTTTTCTGCCCTCTGTCTGTTTGTCGGGGTCTCTCTCTCCCGCTCCCTTTCTGTCACTCTGTGGACCTATATGTCTGTCTCTCTGTATCTCCCTATTCATCAATCTCTCTCTGTTTGTGTTTCTACCTATTTATTTATCTATAGCTTCAGAGCAAGAAAATTCCCCAAAACAGTGTTCGCAGTGCGCAGGGACATTTACCGCAACGTTAGAACTAGAAGAGTAAATTCTAACCCGCAAAAAAGCAGAAAACAAATCTCATTAACAACTCTGTTCAACTGGACCCCATTAGTACCCAACCCTATCAGATTTAGAAGTCTAGGAAGACTTATTGTTCTCCCTATCTGCCGCAGGCCAGGTTCAAGAAGATTTCTACCATTTTCATGGTGATCTTCTTCACCCTCACGATGCCGCTGGGCATTGGCATCGGTATTGCCGTGACGTCACAGTACGACGAGAACAGTAGTACGGCCCTCGCCGTGCAGGGCGTCCTAGACGCCGCAGCCGCAGGGATCCTCATCTACATGTCGCTCGTCGATCTTCTCGCCGCCGACTTCTTGAGCCACAGGATGCAGAGCAGTGGAAGGCTCCAGATTTTCTCCTATACAGGTCTTCTCCTCGGCGCGGGAGCCATGTCCCTCGTCGGAAAGTGGGCCTAGACGATGTGCAGGCGTTATCACAAAGAAGCACTTCTTATTGCTGTTATTCAATGAATGTTCTGTTTTGGCTGAGACGACCTGAGGTTCAGAGACCACTCATTCTATCCTCTCTTTCTCTTCCTTTCTTAAACACTGTTGGGTGAATTGTGTATACGTCAGTCTCGTCATACCTGAAATGATTCAGTTTATACGTCAATTTTGGTGTCATTTGATCCCGATTTCATGTCTCTCCCAGCTATAAATTCGTGACATGGTGTATCCTATTTGACATGGAATGCGTCGCTAATTGTATGTACTTTGATTAAACCGTTAATTCGTGACATGGTGTATGTAAAATTTGAATATTGTCTCCCCTATGACTGTACATTCTATAGATAGCTTCAATCAACGATCATGAATCCCTACGACTAGACGACTTCTTCATCACCTCCCTGATACCACTGCATAATATTGATAGACTGGATAACTAGTCTGTTTGAATTGTGTTGTGCTTATATGTACATTCTGGTCTGGCAGGAGGTCCACTTTCAGACTCCCTCATCTCTTTGAAATGAAAATATCAAATTCCTTCAGTTCGATACGAGAATGGGATTGTCAAAGGGGCTTTCGCTTAAAATTTCACGGATCCGATAATTATGATGAAGAAATGTTCTATTTTCAAATGATGCGTGAAAAATCATTACTGTTGTTCAGGTGGATCAGTATGCTATAGTCCAAAATCCGTACTACCAAAGCAGGGAGTCCAGCTACGTTTCTTTGAAAAAAATCGAAGGGAAAAGCTACCAAAGATGGCCGATAAGCACAAAAAGATAGGCTTGAGAGTCCTAAAGCAAAGAGGGCGCGGGAGAGACTTTAAGAGAGATGAGAGCGTATCATGTCTGTATTCGTGGGTCAAGTCCGGATTCGTGGGTCGGTTTGTGCGACGGGTTATGTCTGTATGGAAGACTTCTTTGTTCCTTTAGTCTCTCAATGATAAATAGGGATGCATGAACCTCTTGGAATTGTCCCGAGTTTTCTTCGGCCAAAATCAAAAGATGTCGTGAACGTTTTGTCCGTCACCATATTCTTTAGATTTATTTATTATCAGTCCCTTTCTTTCTAGAAATTGTAGCCGTGGCCACTCTCCCTCTCTCTGGATCTCGTCTGTCTCCCTGCTCGCCGTCACGGAACATATGTATCCAAATGTATCTCCCTGTCTATTTATATATATATATGTAATATTAGACAGGTCTCGATCAGTATCTCTTGTTTCCGCCCGATTCCATCCGGCAAATAGTTCCGAATTCTCTGAAATTTCCATTTCTCTTGTTTGGTTCTCTTTCTGTCTCAGTAACTACTCTAGTTTCCATGTAGTTGCATACTCTCTCTCTCTATCTCGCTTGTTCGCTTTTACTGAGAAAAGGTCATCTCTCTGTAAACATCGACAGTTCCATATGGGGCTCATTTTTCAGGACAGTATTAGAACTTTCGGAGAGAATACTGCTATTCTTGTTGTCCAGAGAATTGTTGTCAGTCTCTGAAAAATTAAATATGGCAATATAAAAGAACGAACTGCTCAATTCAATACCAACTAGTTTTGATTGACTACGTCTAATAACCTCAATTTGAAATCAGAATCATTCTCGTTTCCATTTGGGCTCAACAAGTCTTACATATCTTGCATAACGTGAAAAGTAGACGGGTTTAGATCTCTCCCACAGTGATTGGCAAACATTTGAAAGGACAATAAAAAATATGGATTGAACCCATTTTGTTACCAATTATTCGGTGTTTCATTTCTCCATAACATTAATAGTCAACGAGCAGCACGATAACACTGAAAGACTCTGTAAGACTAAAATAGCATAGTACAAACGTATCCATCTCTACTTCGGGCGGGCTTATCAGACACACATTAAATGGTGCAAATAAAATCTCTAGATGCATCTAGAAATCGTATGACAAGAATGCACGCTGAGATTTCGCCACTTGTAGTGGCGTTATCGTCATCTGAAGAATTTGATAATGGATTGCTTGTTATTTCCGCTGTCTGTGCGCGCCCACCACGCTTCCCTCTGCCTATTCATCTCCTGATCTCACCGACTAAACTGAAGGACACCGGCGGAGAATAAGACTAATGGAAGGCCTGGGATCAACCCTTCCGGGTGCGGAATGTGACGATTCTCTTCATGGGCGTCGAGATCAGACGGAGTTGACCAGGACAACACGTTCTCGGTTTGCGGCATCTGAAGGAATCGGTGAGGCTGGGGATGGGTTGTTGGCAAGTCAGAGACGCCATCTAGCGTACGGTCGGATACGTGTTGACTTTCATGTCCGGCAGCCACGCAAGCACAGACGCCCTCGCAGTGTTGCGTAGGAGGCCATTGCACTGGGTGGGTTGCATCATCCGACAGGGCACAGTTTAATCCTGAAAGGAACAATCTGAGGATACGAAGCGACAACTTATGGAAGAATCATTCTTTGTTCAAAGTTCGACTCAGTTCTATACTAAATCTTTAAATTATGACTTTCAGCGCTTTCCAAGATTCCACTTTGATGTAGAGAAAATAAAGTTGATCAAGGCAGTTGCCTATTTCAATGCTTAAGCCGACCTGGGTTCCGACATAAGCACAGGCAAAATGAGCTCCAAGATGGATCAATAAAAACCCTGCAACCCCCCTGGAGGTCGACCTTAATCTGATCTCCTCAAACATACTGCGATGGGAGCCTAAGGGGGAGGAAGTGTGTTCTACTGCATCCCGCAGTAGCGGAGAGAGAGAGAGAGAGAGAGAGAGGAAGATGCGATTGGATATACTTGTACGATGGAAGAGGAGGGTATTAATAAGTTAGAAAGGAGAGCTTTAGGTCTAAAGAATCGTGCTGGACTGGAATGTAGAATCAGAATGGTAATAATCCCTATCCGTTTCGAAGCATTGAATGTGTTCAAGGTGATTGTTTGAATTTAGGTCTTATTATTTTTCTTGTGAAAAAGAGGTTATAAGCTTGGATTTTAGGCCCTATCATTGTCCTCTTTTTTCAGCCCAATATATTGGTAGCTGTTGACAAGATGTACCTTTACTAGTGGGGTGTCAATTCTCCAACTGTTAGCCCTTTGATTGTCTGCAGTACGAAGCACAAAGAAATGCTTTCTACATCAAGAGGTCAGATTTTTTATCTAGACAACAATTTAATGGCCAAGTCTCGAATTCAAGTAGTATTCACTAGTTTAATGTAATATTTTAAAATTATAATATGTATGTGATTTATATGCAAAATAAAATTCAAACTTTTCTTGTGATTAGCTCATTGCCTACCTCTAAAAGCCAAGCTAATAATTACTATGAAAAAACCTTATAATTCAGTTAGCTATTTGGAAATAATCTTAAATAATCCAAAATTTAATATTGATCTTTTTTTAATGTACATATAATCTAATTAGTAATAGATGTGTAATTAAATCAATCACCGACTTTGTTAGCTTTGAATTAAATGATAATAACATAGATTTTGACGTTGAATAAATAAAGGTTGATGTTACCAAGTTAGTTGTGTAAAATGGTAATATGACATCATCACATTTTATCATTAAATATTCTCATTATGTTACCTTGAATATTAATCTTTGAGAATAACCTTGTAAAAATCTGATGTTGATTGAAATCCTTCCTTTCTTATGAATCTCAACTCTAAAATTAAGCCTTCTAAATGCGAATTAATCACTAGTTGAGGCTACCAAAATGGAAATATCAACCTAAGTGTAGCATTAATGTAGCATAAATACTCCCATCATGTTGGATTGCCTACAAAGACATATGTAGCATTCAAAACAATGACTCACTCACCTGAAACATGTCACATTTGCTAAATAAATTATTGGAAGGACCTAGTTTGCCAAACTAAATTTTTATTTATGTAAAAATCCAAAAGAGAGTCCATGCATGATTCTCATGTTAACTTTTTAATAGCTTATTTGGTTAATTTCCCTAAGACTATATAATGGTAGAAGGTATGGACTCTTGGGTCTCCATACTAACTGAAGTTGACAAAAGCAGACAAGGGTATAAAGTTCATGTCGTAGTAGTTTATCAGTTGTCTTCCCTAAAAACAGATTACATACTAACTTCTACAAAGGTCTCACAAATATCTGAGATTGATTGGAGTTTTCTTGAGTTAATTCTCCTTTTCCAAGAAAAGGAAAAATCACATCATCTCAAGTTGAAATGACAAGGAAAGAAGAAATAGAAAGTAAACATATTACTTTTTATAGTATAGTGCCTCAAGACAAATCTACATTGCATAATATCAGCAATACAACAAATTAGAACGGTGCCACAATGTGTGACTTACAAAATCTGCTTGTGGCACAATGTGTATTTGACTTTGAGTTGGCAATAAGGTACTCATAAATAAACTTTGCAATGGTGGAAATTTCCTAATTATTGGAACCCAAAAAAATTAGATAAAACTTCTGTATAAAGACATGAAACTAAGTAATAATTTTTGAACACCTTTGCAATCCATTACAATCTTTTCTAGATTGACTCCAATAGTTTGGGAATACTTTAGGTGACATAGGCTTAAATAAGGAGTTTCTCAGTGAAAAGTGAAATAAGTTCTCAATTTTTTTAAATTTGTTATTTCAATTGATTTGGTTTTCCTTAAAGTTTTAGATGACAATAAGCATATAGAAGAAAGATAAATATACCAAGTTATGATTATAGTTCTAAAATATATCTTTACATAAGTGAATATGTTGTTGAAATATATTAGTTGGAAATTTTGCTGATTTTCTTTTTACTACTATTGAATATTCAATTGGTAGCTCTATACTGTGATTTATGCGTATGTTGTGAAATTGAGAATAATGATTTAAAATCTACTTCAAATTATTACTGTCCTTGCTGCATTTATACTTCATAGAATTACGAAAATGCCATCATTCAGAGGTGATTATCAAGTCAAATAATCTATGTGGTGCTCAAATATTTGAAGTGCATATTGATATGAGATTACAACATTAT